CATTACCTGACTATGTAATGCTAGAAAGGAGTGAGGCTTGCTATTTGTTTATATACTATAACTTGCCCTGTCAGTGGTGTTGTTTCCTTTTGGTAGTTCCTTGATTAGACTGTTGGTTATTACTCTAAACAACAGCCTAACTATAAACAAACACCATAAACAACAGCCTAATTAAGGAACTGCCAAGGAGCCAGGTAACAAAACCTTTGCAACAAAGAATCAGAGAGCATCAAGGACTCCACTATTATTTATTTACATGAATAAGAGACAATGGGGATTTGAAACATTTAAAGTAAGAAATAATAAAGGAACAGATGATATGTCTCCAGAAGAAAAGCTTATATAATAAGAAATTCTACAGGCATTCAACAACTACTCTATCCTAGGACCTGTGAGGATAAATAAATAGTCAATGAGTTTCTGAACATCATCAGGGTGGAATCCTTATGGATCTCAGGGTGATGCTATTCTGGGGGACAGGCATTCCAACAGAGAAGATATATTGTATCCAGATAGATATTGAGGGTACGTGGGGTGCACCTCCTGCCAAATCTTACCAGATAGGTAGAAACTATTGGAAATACCAAATAACTAACACCATGAGGTGAACCAGAAAGCTTACTGGCAAGCTCAAAGAGCAGTGATGCCACATCGCATATCTTGGCATGCCTATTGCTACTCCCATCATTATATTCTGGACCAGCTATAGCTTCTGAGTGGTCTTCAAGGAGATTCTCATGTAGAACCTCACGGAGAATGCAATATTCCATTTGTGAGGTGATTGTCAAAAGGGCTCCAGCAATAGTTGCAATTGACACACTAGATAGCCTGCAGACATGGGGACAGTGTCATGTGGATAGCCTGGGGTCAAAATATACAATTAGGTATCATCAATACATTTTTGTAGATAAGCAAATTATTGTGCTGGCATAGGATGCTATTTAGCAAAGATCTGAACTCCTGGAACCAGCCACAGGAATCAGGTTGGGGAATGTGCCAGCCTTTCTGTTCCAAGTTTGTCAACATATTTGTCCATTAAAACAGGAGGGTTGAGCTGCAATGGGTAAATCAGGTAAATTGGATAAATGAACAGTGAATATGATAAATGAATTTTGCTGCCTGTAAATGATAATTTTGGAACTAAAGGGATGAAAAAGACAAAAATTTCTTTATCCCATATAAGTCAATAGCCAATTAATTCCCAACACAATGAGAACATGCAAATAAGAAGTTGCAAGGTTGGTACAATTGCAAGGTTTCCAGAGAATAATAAAAGTCTGGTAAAGAACAATACATCCAATAATAAAATTAAATGACATAACTCTTCCATTATGGTTTCCTTATGCATTGCTGTCTAAACTGTCTGACAGGTTAAGGTACGTTGCTGTACCATGATTTATCAATGGAAATTATCATTGCTTCCAAGTCTAATAATGTAGAAAAAAATTATTTCAGATCCAGGTTGTCTGTAAAATTACACACATCTAAAACAAGTTGCTTCCTGTTTTAGATATCTGAGCATTGTTTAGTTTATTATTTATTATTTGTGTCTTGCTCTTATTATTTTTACAAATAAGGTGGTAGTAATATCCAACACACCTTCCTCCTCCCATTTTAACCACAACAACCCTGTGAGGTGGGTTGGGCTTAGAGCAGGGGTATGCAACCCAAAACACTCAAAGAGCCACTTGGACCCGTTTCCCACCAAAAACAAAACACCGGGAGCCGCAAAACCCTTTTGATATCTAAAATGAAGATAACACTGCATATATCCTTTTTTACCTTCATTATAGGGATGTTTGTGTGTGTGTATGTATGTGTGTGTGTATATATATGTGTGTGTGTGTGTGTGTATATACACACACATACATACATACATACACACACACAGGTAAAAAAAGGATATATGCAGTGTTATCTTCATTTTAGATGTCAAAAGGGTCTCTCTCTGTCTCTCTCTCTCCCTCCCTCTCTATCTGCCCTTGGTCTGCCACTCCTCTTCCCCCACTCTTTCTTTCTCTCTCTTTCTCCTCTCTCTCTCTCTCTCTCCCTCCCTCTCTCTCTCTCTCTCTTTCTCTCCCCCCCTCTCCTATCTGCTGCTCACCTGGCAAGCTTCAAGCTGTTGTCTACAAGCTCAGGAATAGGCAACCTCGTCTCTTTTATGACTCATGGACTTCAACTCCCAGAATTCCTGAGTCAGCCTAGCTGGGCTAGCTAGCTCCCTCCTGCCTTTCCTGCTTCCTGCAGAGACTCAGCAAAGGGAGGAGCTCCGCCCAGTAAGCTTTTCAGCTGCTCAGAGAACACTGTGAGTGCACTCTCTTTTACACATACACACACACAAAAACACAAACACACACACACAGAGAGAGAGAGAGAGAGAGAGAGAGAGAGAGAGAGAGAGAGAGAGAGAGAGAGAGGCAGAGAAGCGCAATTGCCTCTCTCTGTCTCTGTCTCTCTCTGCAGAGGCAGAGGAGGCTGGGACCCACAAGGGAAGAGTCAAAGAGCCGCATGCGGCTCCGGAGCCGCAGGTTGCCGACCTGTGGCTTAGAGAAAGTGACTGGCCCAAAGTCACCTAACTGGCTTTCATGGCTAAGGTGGACTTGAACTCATGGTCACTTGCTTTTTATCCTGGTCCCTTAACCACTGGACCAAACTGGCTCCCCCTTCCCCCCAAGCTCTTCAAAGGGAGGGATTGAATTCTCAGATTTGAAACAATTTGGATACTTACTAGCAACTTGATCCTTGATCCCACAGGTAAAACACTTCAAATCTGATTTGAGTGAGAGGAAGTTTAATACAGTAATATCATGCAAAATATATTAAAATCCCACAATAAAGTTGTATTCTGTATTATATCTCCACTTCTGGCAAAGGAGATCTGTTTGTTCTGAGTTGCATTACTTCCATCCCAGAAGGATCCAAAGGTATGAAGAAGGGGAGAGGAAATGGGCATAAAAAGGGTACGAAATATTTTCTTCTTTTTATTCTTCATTTGCCTTAGCTCTTCTCATTTTTTTATTTATAGTTGTACAACATTGAAAAAGCTCCTCTAAATTCTTTAGTGCAGCGGTTCTCAACCTATGGGTCGCGACCCCATTTGGGGTCGATCGACCTCTTTTGTTGGGTCGCCAAACGCGGCGATCCGCCATTTTGTCCCCTCCGGGGGCGTGCCGCGCCTCCAGGGGGGCGGTGCCGCGCATGCGCGCCGCGCGTGGGGGCGGCGCCGCGCCTCCGGGAGCGCCACCGCGCATGCGCGCCGTGCGTGGGGGCGGCGGCGCGCCTCCGGGGGCGCCACCGCGCATGCGCGCCACGCGTGGGGGCGGTGGCGCGCCTCCAGGGGTGGCGCCGCGCATGCGTGCCGCGCGCGGGGGCCCGCCCCCATGCGCGCCGCGCGCGGGGGGCTGGCGCCGCGCATGCGCGCCGCGCGCGGGGGCCCCGCCCCCATGCGCGGCCGCACCGCGCATGCGCACGTTTGTGTGACGGGGTCGCCGTCACACAAACGTTGAGAACCGCTGCTTTAGTGTGTGATGATGAACTAGTTCATCCTGCATTTCATTAGAACAGGGCTTTTCAACCAGTGGTACGGGTACCACCTGTGGTACATTGGCACCTGGCAGGTGGTACACTACCATCCTAGAAAAGTGGTAGCGGGGGAAGGGAATAAGAGTGCCGCAGGGCGGGCAGGCAGATGTCTTGCTTGGCTGTGCCTTGGGGGTCACTTTTTCAGTGCCATTGTAACTTCGAACAGTCACTAAGCGAACTATTGTAAGTTGAGGACTACCTGTACTTTATCACTTTTTTCCTTTTTTTTTTTTTGGGTCATCAAGTTTTTGACACCTTGCTAGGTGACTGGTGGTACTCGGATATTGCCATATCCTAAAAGTGGTACAATGGGTGAAAAAGTTGAAAAGCCCTGCATTAGAAAGACCATCCTGAAAATTATCTATTAGAACTAATTCATCCCTGGCATAAGCTGAAGCTTTTTATTTATATAGATGTATCTGGCCACCCATCTCAAATACATGACTCTGGGTGATTAACAGTAATGAAAATGATACAAAAGGTATCTAAAACACATAATACTGTAACACGGAGAATACAGGAAAATTATAAAAATATAAATCAACACAACAAATGAGCTCCATCGCACACTTGGGCTCCAAGCTTGAACACATATCCTCCTTCGCTCTGTCCTTAGCTTGGTACAATCTATGAATTCATAATTAGCAATAGCTAATTCTCTGCAGCTCTGTTTCTCTGAATAGTATCCATCACTGGGTTGCTGTTGACTGTTATTAATAGGAACTGCTCAGTGGCAGCTTCATTTGTCAAGAGTCCACAAATAAATGCTACTTGAGAGAGAGTTACTATTTAGTATACTTACAATCCTGGCAAGCTCTTGATTCTAATTATAGCAAGAGTTTGGTTACTTTTTCAACTCTTAAGGTATTCAAAACATACATGGGCTTCATTGGACAGAAATCTTGTCTCATGAGAATTACAGTAATTCATGTTTAGAAATGTAAGCAGCAGAGGCTTATCCATTAGCTATCCTTCCTCCTTTTGCCTTCTAAATAATGCAATCTAGGCTATGTCATACCCATAAAACATATTTTTAAAAAAGTTTAAAAAAATTAAAAGGGAAAGGAGCCTTGGATTATCCATAGTAAATGTTAGTATAGATATACAGATATACAGAGCTGCTCAGTTTAACTCTGCTTTGGGGGACTTCCGGTCTTGAGCCACTCAAAACATGATAAAAAGTTGCATTGCTTTTACTATCTAGAGAACATGCACAAATCCAAAGACCACAGACATCATTACAGATAATCAGGCATAGTAAATGAATGACCATTAGCATACAGAAAAAATAAAAAATACCACTTTAGGATGAAATGAATGGAAACATTATGTCAGTTTCACACACTATTCTCCCAACCATTTTCATTAAAAGAAATAATATAGAGAATTTATTATAAAAATGATAGACAATCAAAAAGTCTTAGTTATTTCTTCCAAATTTAATTCAAGTTTGCCAAATATCTAAATGTATACAGAGAGGTTTGATATTACCACATCGCATCAGACTTTTCATTAACTTCAGAAAAGAAGAGCTTATAAAATTGTATGTTTTTTAAATTAAAAAAAGAAAAGTGTGCTAGATAACATTTGCAGGCATGGCTTTATAAAGCATTTGACATGATCTTATGAGAAAATGTTTGCTTAGAGAGTAAGGAAGCTGTGTGTGATGAAAATAAACAATTAAACCACATTTGAACCATGCTTTTAAGTATGTTTTAACATGTTAAATTTAACATGTTAAATCAGGTGTCTCAAGCTACACTTCAACCTTTCTGACCTACCTTTAAATATATCAACACAGTTTAATAAAAAAGAGATAATATTTTACTGGAAAAACAACTTGCCAAGTACTCATAGTATGGCTTTTACACATTGTACCATACATATTGCATATTGCTCACTGGGGAATATTATATGGACCAGTAAGAGAATTTTTTAAAAAGCTGGCCATGTGGAGATTGATTTAAGAACAGCTAACTAATGCTGTGTTCTGCTAGCATTTTCATTTTGTAAGGAATAACCAGAAATTGTTCCATGAATTATCACTTCTTCCGTGTTGTTCATGAGGCATTTATCCACTAAGCCATTACGTTGGCCATTACATTGGCCAATTCCATCTTGGGGGGAGGGGGCGCTTCAAATATTTTCTTAGTTCAGAATGAATAAAACTTGATAGATGCATTAACACCAGAGTTTGGGGGCTTGCTGAGTTCAACAGAGCATACTGATTCTTTCTGGTTATTCCAATTAAATCCTTCTCAACAAAATTCTCAGCAAGAAATGCATTAAGAAAAATGGGAAATTTTGTATCCAAAAATTTTGAGAGCTGAAAAGTGTGCTTGAAGGTCAAACTGCATAGGAATAGAATGTATTTCCAACACAACAGTGAATTCTGGAGATGAAGAGCTTGATATATAAGAGAAATATATAATATACCTAGTCTTGAATTGATTGACATATTATGACATGAGCCTCTGATATTTGGACTAAAGAATTACACATCATTTTTGTTTTATTTTAAAATGGCAAGCAACATTTTAGCTGTTGTATATTATGGCATATCTAAAATGAAATACCCTTTAAAAAAAATTGGAGCATGCATTTAATTAGCAGAGTTGCTTCCCTAGAAGTATTTAGATGGTTACACAATTTCATTTTATACCTCCTATTTCTTTTAATGTTTGCTTATGATCTCTCATAAACCAGCAGAAGCAGGTCAGACAGAGAGTTAATATATGTAATCTACAATTTGTGCTTGTTTTAAGATACCAAAGAGGAAAATATCTGTCCCATCCCACCCCAAAAACAGTAAGCTATGAGCAAGGATCACAAGATAGTGATTGGATAAAGAATATTTGAAAGAAGCTAATGCTGTCTGGCTCCCCACAAGAGATGCCCATGGTTTGAGGATTAGTAAGACAGTCTGACTTCCTTCAGGAACAAGAGGGAATGTTTCAATTTCCATAGTTCTTTCAGCCTTACAATCTGGTTACATTCTGCAAGTGATCTCTTGCACAAAAGAGTACCCCCATGAAATGATAACTTAAGAGGCAAGAAGCAGTAACTTACAGCATATACTGGTATTGTGGCAGCATATTAAGATTTATTAAATCATGTGTCTTTCTGGGGAATATATTTAGAATATTATTGATTCTTTACGATTCTCTTCTCTTGCTCTTCATTTTGATGCAACAACATTTTCATGGCCAAAGATAAATCTTTGACAAATTTCAATATTTCAGACATCTAGACAATGACTTCCTGCGGAGTTAGCAATATTAAATGTAAATGAGAATGGTGGGAAACTACACTAACTCACCAAAAAATACGTAAGGTCATGACTCCTTAAAATGGACAAAACCTTTCACTTCACACTTTTCTACTGCTTGTATTACCAGTTATAATTCATTGACTTTATAGATTTCAGGTATACTGAATCAAATTTTGCATCAAAGCCCTTCAGAACATGACAAAGCCTATTGTTATTAACTTCTTGTACAAGATTTTGAGCTTTGAGTTACTTTCACTATTTTTTAAAAAAATCTATTTTCAAGGACTAATACAATGCAATAAGCTTGAACTTCCAAAAACACTTAGTGAAATCTGACATTTGGGAAAAGTTTAGGCCAAATATAAATATAATAACAACCACTACAAACATGTTGTTTTATTTCATCAAATTATGGCATCCTGCATGAGTTGTTGCTTTTTCATTCCAATTGAGTTTTATAGATGTCTTTGTGAAAAAAAAACAGACCCTTGAGCATATGGCCAAATGAGTGCCTTGTAAGCAATGTGGTATGTATATTTTAAAATTGAAGCATTTGCTTGAACAAAAGATCACTTTATTGGACAATGAGAAAAGTTCTGAACTGGACCAGGTAAGGATCTTGAGTGATTTCAGAATGGATGTGGCCACTGATATATATTGCTGTAATAATCTGACCTCTGTGGAACTCATCAGAAGTGTCTATGTCAGACTGCAATCCACTCCTATTTTCATTGCTAGTATGAACAACAGGGAGACCCTTAACATATTTACTTTTCAAAAAGGATGAAAGAAAGATTTGCATGGGGATGGGGATGACACTAGTCAACAGATAAAGTTCCTATAGAAGCAGTAGGCTTAGCTACAGTTACCAGTCTGAACAGCTGTAGCTGCAGGCAGATGGAACAATATTTGGTCAGACACTAGCAGCTGGCTAGCATGTTTGGCTCTTGCTGTTTCTCTAGTTCCAGGCAACTCAGCTTGACTTACTTCTTCTTTGCATTGACATTTCTGCAGACCCAGTTCATGCCATCCTTTAAAGACAGTAGAAAAAGAACAGTAGGTTAGACAAAATAGGTAACCAGATCCTGACAAATTTTCTCTTAGATTGGTTTGCAAAAGCACTTTTTCCGTCTTCTCTTAGTTCCCTCTACTACAGGTTGTCCTTGACTTATGATCACAATTGTACATTGACCACACAAACTTACAGCAGCAATTCCAGCCTCCCCCCCCCAATGCAATTGTTAATCAAGAATCAAGGGTCTTTAAGCGAATATTCATCCCAATCCAAGCAATTCCAGGCTTGGTCCTTCCAAATCCTGAATCTCAGTAAGGTAAGACACTGCCTGCAACTTCCCCCCCACACCTATTTCTCCCATCTCTGTTCTTTAAATGGCTTGCACCTTGCTTAGCAGTACGCCAAGCAGCCCCATAATCATATGGTTCTGGGGCTGTTTGCCATGTCCTTGGAAGCCTCAGGTGTACCAGCTCGATGAGCACCAGCCCACACCAACAGCAAATGCTATCAAGCATTCATTTGCCCAGTTGCCTTCTCTCCCAATTCCCTGCAATGACTTTTCTCCTTTTTTGTCCATCTGCCGCAGCCAAAGCAAAAGCCCCTTGCTGTCTCTTGCAGACCCAGCTTCTTCAGCGAGCGTTTCCTACACATGTCTTCGAGTGCTCTCTTTGTAAATCTCACTGTTCTTAGAATGCTGGACTGTCTCTGTAAAGCTGCCCTGCCTTCAAAACTCTATGCTGTGTTCGTAAAGCTGTGGTGCCTTCAGCAGCTTTTAGAAAGCAGTGCAGTTTTATAAACACAGTGCAGTTTTACAAAGACTGTATAGTGTTCCAAAGGCTTAGTAACATATAGAAAACATGTAAAAAAACATTTGCCAAAGAAGCTAGATGAAAAAAGAAGACAGCAATGATGAGAAACCACATAGAAATGGCTGTACTGTCCTTATGTTATGCAATATATTAATACACAAGCATGAATGATTTTTGACAGATGTTAAGATGAGAAATAGAACTTTTGTTTAATATCTCTGGTATCAGGACCAATATATACCATGTACTATTGTACATACATTATATACAATAGTAAGGAATGCATCTCGCTATACAAGCTATTGTTGAAATAAGCTGCAGACGCAGTGTGTCTTCTGGTTGTGAATGGCCCTCCAGAATTCCAAACTTTAATGATCATAGATTCAATGAGCAACGAATCAATCAGAACAAGCACAACAATCCATAATTCTGGTGGAAGACGGGAGTAACTGAAACTCTATCAGATAAACCCTCATTTTAAAGATAGGCCTGACAACAGCACTGTTTCAAAAAGATCATAAAGAAACATTAAAGTAGCATTATGATAAACTTATGCAAGAAATGTGAAATCATACCAGGTGACAAATTCTCAACACTTTATATGTGAATAAGCAAAGGTGTAATTCTTAAAAAGGCTGAAAATTTGCCACCATAGAATCACTAAACACAAAAGAAAAAGATTAAGAAAATGTGTTTTTTGTGCTTCTCTATTTAATCAAAATTATGGCATATCACTGGCACAATAATGCTTTGTGACTCTTCATTGTCAATGTAAGATCCCAAGCCATAGTAAGTAGCCATATTACTTCCTTACTATCAATTTCCAGCCAAATGTTTAGTTTTGTGGGGAGGGTAAACTTCTATGTACTTTGGGAGGGCTCAAAGGGATACAAAAAATGTTGTCGACCATGTTTGGCTCATTCATATTTATATAATAAAATACTGATATCTAGTCTGGGTATGTTTGGCTTTTGAACTGCTTTTTCTAAAATGAACTACAGTAACATAGGTTAAAAATACTGCCTGAATACATATACTTTTACTAATAAAGAACACATTTGTACTGAGTAGTATATCTCATGATGTGGATGAAACCCCCTTGAGAAAACTCTATTGCCACAATTCCTTGCACATTCACATTTTCAACTCCATTTTATAAATCCTCATTTATATATTACAAGTATCAGTATGAATTAAACTGATACTTATTCTGAAGTATAAGGGAGATCCAGCTAGCGTGATTGTCTGTCTCCTCAGTTCACCTCCTTAAATAGGAAGAACCAAATCTGCTTACAGTAAAACTCTCTGACATTAGGAAGCATGATTACTGTAATGAAAGCTATTTTCTCAGCTATGGCAATGGCTTCTCTTCACTGACACTCATGAGGGTAAAACAGGCACACACCCATATCCAAAGCATCTTGATTATAACTTTTCATTGGGTAATCAATGAAAATCAAACCAACTTTTCAAAAGTGTATTGGTACACGATCACAGCAGATTCCAATCTTAATTAATATTTTTAGTTAAGGAAACTCATTTTAAATAATTTTCTAAATGTACAGAATTTATTCATTATAATGTAATCTCAATCATCTTGAAGTCTGTAATCTTCCTGATTTTATACACTACAGTATCACCTAGAAAACTAATTAAACTAACCTTCCAACCTCTACATTTGCTACAATAATCTTTTTTCATATTATGCCTTGGGGTTAAGACAAAGTTCCCCCTATTAATATATTATCCATACTCTTCAGTTACCTATCTCTCACCCCAAAATCAGCTCTTAACTTCCTGTGTACTCTCCCTCTCCCATATGACATAGTTACTATCCTATCATTAAATTCTATATATGGAATCTCTGGGTACTTTCTTAATGTCATGAGTCAGGAGTAAAATATCTAACAGTTCAATTGTACATATTTTTAAAAGAAGTTAAATTCCCTAAGCTCAGTTTGATTTATTTCATCGGTAAATGAGTTCAGAATTGCAACACATTGTTGCCTGAGAAGCCAGAACTTCAGTTCTTGATACTAAGATCTGATTATAAATTATTAATTTTAAAAGAAAAACCACTTAGGACATGCCAGAATCTCTTCTTAACTACAGCAAATAAGTGTCAGTTATTCCAGATGGGCATATTCCCAAAAAAACAAGTAAACGACCGCAACTTAAGTAAAATGGAATTTTTTCCCCCAAAAGATTTGCACAACTATATGCATTTTCAAAATGCACTTAATGGACTTTTTCTGATTAAGATCAAATGATGAGGCTTTATTCTTTGTTAACAGATAAAGAATAAGATATAGGATGAAGAGATTTTTGATTGAAATGTTAAGTTACTGAAATTGCTTGTACTTTTCTTGATCAAAGAGGAAGTCTATTCTATTTTTTTCTAGGTTTTTTTCTATTTTATATATATATATATTCTCTCTTTTTCTTATCCCCCTTTTTCTGTCTGCATTTTTATCTTTTTGTCTTTTTTATATTTCTCTTTGCATTCATTTTTTATCTTTGTATTTTTAAACTTCAATAAAATTATTTTCAATTATTATTCAGCAATGATATATCGCGTTCCTTAGCCATTTCTAAAGTCAGTTTCTATTATTTATTTTCATAGCAAACCTTTAACAAGATCCACAAGGAGTTAGGTCAAGGGTAGATGGCAGGAAAAGCTTGTATCTCATTTTTCATGTGGTTCTGTGTGATTTATACACCACAATAATAATATACTGTATTTATAAACACTGTATTATTTTTTTCCGTAACAATAATGGTGATACTGCTATAAAGTTTTTTATATATATATACTTGTACAATAATGTCATGTTACCTGGTTATATCTTATATATTTTCCCCACACATCATTCCCATGTGTAAACCTGCCTTTTAAAGAAGTGAGAACTATTCCTATGAACTTTCTATTTTTATAAGTTAAAAACAAAACAATCTTGTTTTCATTTTGAGAAAAGAAGGAAGAACAAAAGGCAAAATCCAGGATGAAGTGATTGGACAACAGCATTTTGTGGATGTGAGTGAAAGAAGGATGATCACACCTGAAGGGAGAAGACACTCAAAATTTATATGCAGTTATATGAGAGGCAAATGGTTTTTATATTTAGTCAAATTCTTGTGGGGGAGAAGGCTTAGCTGGGAAGGAAGTAATTCTGCTGACTTATCTTTCTATGAAACTATTTTTAAGCTGCACTGAAAGAAATATCAACATATTTTTACAGTTCACGAATGAAATATTTCAAAAGGCTAGAAATTAAACTAAAATTAATTTTTCACCTAGCTTTCTTTCAAAAAAACTTTAAAAGCTTTTAGTAGTATTGCTGGGTTACAAGATTGTATAGTAGCTGAATTTTAAGCTTGTTTTAAAATCTAACAAAATCTATCTTCCATCCCACCATCCAGATCATCTGTTTTCTTTAAGAAATTTTGAAAACCCTATACAGATACTCCTCGACCTACAACAGTAGTTTTAGTGACCATTCAAAGTTACAACAGCACTGAAAAAAGTGATGTATGACCGTTTTTCACACTTATGACTGTTGCAGCATCCCCATGGTCACATCATCAAAATTCAGGCGCTTGGCAATTGACTCATATTTATGACAGTTGCAGTGTCCTGGGGTCATGTGATCACCTTCTGACAAACAAGTCAAGGGGAGAGCCAGATTGTTATTAACAACTGTGGCAAGAAGAGTCATAAAATGGGGCAAAATTCACTTAACAACTGCTTTACTTAGCAATAGAAATTTTGGGCTCAATTGTTGTCATAAAACGAGAACCACCTGTATACATAATATATTATTTCACATTTTATAGTTTGATATCATAAAATGTGATGCATACAAAAAATGTGGAGCAAATGTATCTGCTTAGAAAATCTGGTAGCATTATATCTGCACAGGGCATGCTAGATACATTGATACCAGAAGAATAATACGTCTGCCTTTGGCATGTAACTTTGATGAAGACAAAATGCCTGTCTGTCTGAAAGATCTATTCCTCATCCATGTTTGATACTAAAGGAGTATTTTTTCAGATAAAGCAAGCATTTTTAATTAGAAATAAAATATTCCAACATTCTACAATGACCAAATGTATTTCCTGTTTAAATTAACTTTGATTTTGGCCTCTTCTAGGTAAAAGCTTTATTGACCATATGTTTTGATTATTGAAGCTCATATTGTGGATGATGGGAGATGTTTGGAATCTAAGAAAACAAATACCAAATGAATGTAGTCATATTTGTATAAATGATTCATAACTTGGAAACTGACAAAATACTAAGAAATGGGGACAGAATGTTATTTACAACAAAGGCAATAGTCATCTTTTTAACCTTGTTTAGGTTAAAAGTACTTCCTTATTAATTATGATACCATACAGAATCAGCAGAAAAACCTTTCAACTCAACAGAAGAGCTTTCCATGTTTTAAAATAAGTAAAGTAATATACATTCATATGATCCCAAACTTCCTCAGAAAATTATTAAGCCTTAAATATGAAATTAATTACAGGTAGTTCACACTTAACAATTGTTCCTTCAGCAACTGTCTGAAAATACAGTGGTGCTGAATGAAGGGACTTATGACCTGGGCCTGGATTAAGGGTTAGGGTCATACAATGAAAAGTTGGGTGGCTGGCAGTTAACTCACCCTTACAACTTCACGGGCACTGCAACTTCCCTCACTTGCCCCCTATTTCTTATCCATCTATGCTCTTAAATACCCAAGAAACTCTGACAACTGGGAGTGAAAAAGCTCTCCCATACAAATACTAAGGAACAAACACCTGGGAAGCCCCAACCCAGCCTTGCTCTAGAGTCCAGGGGAGAGAGAGGAGCACGCATAGCTCCCAGCCCCAGAAAGTATCTGGCTATAGTTGCCAGGATCTTTACATAGTAGCTCTGCTATTCAACGGGCCACCATTTAAAAGGAAGAAAAAATTCACTGGAGTCCACATTGGAGAGGAGTGATGAGTGGCAACAATAAATACCAGAGGGAGGAATTGGAGACTGAGGGAAAAGCAAAAGAAAACTATAGCTGCCATGAGAAGCAGGAGGAAGCCACTCCCACCATAACAATCTAACATTGAGCCAGGAGAACAACCTGTGTCTACCTTTTAGAAAAGACCAAAAATATTTTACAAAGAGTACCATCCAGCATGGAAATCCCAAGCAAGTCTCCTTTTCTCAATGTGCAAAGAGGAAGATGCATGGGGGCAGCCATGTTTTTCTTTCTTTTTCCCTTGGTCCCCGCTTTTTCCTTCTACTGCCTATTTTTGCCACTCACCATTTTCCTCCATCTGGACTCATGATTTTTTTTCACCTTTGTAACTGGAAGCCTGTTGGGATAGCAGAGCCATTCAGGGGAGAGGGAAACCCCCTACCTGCTGGCTAAAGTCCTCAGCAACTGGTCCCAGAAGTTACAACTGCAGCGCCTCCACAGTCATTTGATCAAAATCTGACTGCCTAGCAACTCATCTGTACTTAAGACCTCTTCAAATCCCCCCCCCCATACATACATACTTGCCTATCTCATCTATTTTGGCCTCCTGCACTCTGCAGCCCTGCTGCCCTGTGCTCTGCCACTCCAGCTGACTTTTGCCAAGTTTTTGCTTTTGCTGCCCAGCCTAGCCCTTCACAAGGCAGCTACAGCATAAAATGAGGCTTTCCTCCCAATGTTATATGTGGCAGTTTCTTCACAAAACCTGGAGAAGAAGGCCTTACATGGGCAGCAGTTGTCTTACAAAGAGCCAGGCCTGGCATGGCTCATCAATACTGGGAGCGAGATGATTGCAAAGGTCAGCTGGGGCAGCAGAGGAGAGCAACAGGTGTCTCGAAGTGCAGAGAAACAAGGGTGTTTATGGTTGAGTTTCACAGTCCACTGCTGGGATAGATGGGGCTTTCTGCCATGGTGCCTGACTGAAGAAAAAGGAAGGTATAGAAAAGGAATGGAAATTGGAATAAATAAAAGGTCTTTACTTTCCCCAATATCCCAATGGTTTTCTGTTTGCTAATGAATATATTATGTATATTAATGGAGCTCTATAAGGATCTAATCTTCAGCTTTTGAAATTGCCCAGGCTGTCTTGTTTTGGTCCAGAGTGCATCCCATCTTGACCGGATTCTGAAATTTAACTCAGGGAAAATGGAACTTCATCCTGCATTTTATTTCCTTTCCAGCACACTTTTACTGAGTCCTACTGTCAGCAATCTTATTCTATATCTTGTTGGTGACTCTGCCTAATGCAGTAATGCACAAACATACACACCTATCCTATTAATAGGGCCAAAACAGGATTATAGAGGGACCTCTTACAAATACAGAATGATACGTACGTACTTATACTGCTCACAATTTTACACAATATAAAATATAAGAGCTTATTAAATAATTATTTGTGGCCAAAACAAATTAAGAAGGATGGCTAAATAAAAACTGGTACAATAAAAATATTACTCTTAAAACTAAATTGCAATATAGAATGTATGTTGCTAAAGGAAGCAAATAATTTCTTGAGGACAATCCAAGAAGAACAGGGGCAAAAATATGAATCAGTGTGTGATTTGCGATGGAGAAATCCATCATACATAGAACCTCTCTCTTGCCGAGTGAGTTAAAAATTACATTTGTCCATTATGCATTTGCTTCATAGCTTACACTGAAAACATTGGGATGCAAAATAAGGGGAATGCTTATCTCTTTCAGATCAGTAGAAAAGCCATTCTGCCAAAATAAATACTGTCTCCTCACCGACACGCCCTCTCCTGTCAGGGCTGAACAAGACTGAATCTGCCAGACTCTATCCCGGATTGTGTGCAAGTTCAGACCCTCTGCAATCTCTGCAGCAGGGGCTGCTGTCAGTAAATCTTGTTTATTTGCAAAGATGAGTACTGGAACGCCACTCAGCTTTTCTTCATCCACCAGCTCTGCTAGTTCCTGAAATATAAAGACATTTTTTATAAAATGAACAAGATTTTTTCCCTAAACAATTCTGGAGAAAGCAAGCATTAACACCATAAGCAAGCATTAACACCATAACCTAAAATAAGTTTTTCTAAAATTATAACGGAGTATAGACCAGTGATGGCGAACCTTTTAGAGACCGAGTGCCCAAACTGCAACCCAAAACCCACTTATGCATCGTTGGGGCTGGGTGGGTGTGGCCCATTGGCTGGGTGCGGCCAATTGGGGGGGGGGGTGGCCCATTGGCTGGGCGTGGCTGCGGTGGTAACGGCAGACTGGGTGGGACTAAAAAGTTCAATCAATCAATTCCAACTTTGCAAGATCTTTTTTTTTCCTGCGAGAAGTAGAAATTGACTGGATTGAACTTTTTTTTTTTTGCACATGGCGGCAGAGGCCTAAAGTGAAAAGGTTTTATAAAACCCAGCTGAAGGCCTAGGACTTGTGTGACGGCACACGTGCCCACAGAGAGGGCTCTGAGTGCCGCCTCTGGCACCTGTGCCATAGGTTCGCCACCACTGGTATAGACTAACTGCCTTCAGGGCAACAGCAATGGATCACCAATCCCAATCTTCAAGATACTAGTACTTGTGGAACAGCCAACGTAACCTATACAAGCACACACTTATAAACTGAATTTGCCAGTATAATGGAATATAATGGAATAGCTCTTAAAAACATTTTAGCCTATAAATGCTTCAAATTCTGCAGGAATCCTAAATATAAATAAAGTTTATATAAAGTTTATATAAATATAAACTTTAAAGTTTAATTCAGTTTATTCATCTCTAATATATGGGTCATTGATGCAACTTTTTTTAAAAAAAAGTATAATCTTCATAAGGCAATTTTGACTACTAAAAGGAATACTGAGCATCCCTTATGTATTAATTTATGTACTCATTAAATGAGTGCATTAAAGATTAAATACAAACCAATCCTGCAAATATCATTCTAAACTAAATTAACATTGACCTTAAAAACACTCCTAAAATTAAGGGGCAGGAACCTACAATACAGCATACTCAATTTTCACATTTTCTGTTAATGGCATCAAAAAAGGGAAATAAATGGATGCAAAATGATAATTAGCATATCAAAGATGAACATACACTTTGGATGGTTGGATGCTGCTGAAAAAGTGTTATAATTATCAAAGCCTAATACTTCTAATCACTGCTCGATATAATATGGAGACATTACATAATTCAACTGATGTGAACATTGTATCATAAATCAGAATTTACCAATCACTGCATTAAATTATCAGGAAAATGTTCATATTTTTAAGATGTTACTGCAGAGTCTATATAATTCAGTGTGCAAAAAAATAAAAATTATTTGGGTCAAACTTGTGAAAATTGAAAAGGAACTTTAAAAAATAAGTTCCCTGTTTTCAGCTAATTTCCAAATTTGACAGAAAGCTGTAACTTAAATGAAACTCCATTTTTATTACTATAAGTTCCATGTCAAATTCTGACAAATTTCATTGTACTGTATCCCTACTTTCAAAAGCTGTGACATACTTACTTGACCAGTTTCTTCAAATCTTTTTCTATCAGCACTATCAATGACATAAATCTACAAAGCAAATAAGGAAAATAGGTTTAAAAATTCAACTGTATGATGCTATTTGACAGACAGTATATCTGTAATAACAAGTTTTTGCAATACTAATCTCTCAAAATTAAGTAATTAATGCCTGTTAAAATTAACGAATGTTGAAATGGGAAAAATCTGTCTGGAATAAAATTGTCAGCCCTTTTTTTAAAAAGTGTTTTATAACACTTTTTTCAGCTGTGAGCTGTATCCGAAAAAGCACAGAATCCTTTAGCATCATTAGCTATAGATATATATGTAGGGAGAAAAAATACACAAGTTTTTATTTAATAAGTGATAACTTACTGATGTACCTGTTATCACAAGTTGTGATTACTGGTACATTACAACTCATTCTTTTTGTACTTTGGTTTCTGCCCTCCTTTACTTCTTCTGCCTCTCTGAATACTGTGGGTCTTGGGGGTAAGGGAAAATGATGGGGAAAGCTATGACCGCTGGTGTTTATGACTGCAATCTAGGAGAATTGAGCCCATACTTTAGCCACCACAAAGCATTTAAATGAAGTCTTTCCAATTGTAAGTTAGGATCTCAAGATAGACAACTGTTTCAAACAAATATGTCTTAAGCTGAGAGATAAATGTGAGCCTATACATCCACATTTTTCTGCTATACAAATGGGAACACCACCTTCCAGTTTTTTTCAGATTGAGAAACTATAGTTACTAATTTAAGAACAAATCAGAATCCTAAACTATGTTATGAGGTTCATTTAGGATTCTGGCTTTCTCTAAAGGTAGAAAGTGTTTTGTCCCAGTTTAAAGTTAAAAAAAGGAGGAGAGGAATGATGATGATGATGATGAACTGAAGACTAGTGTATTTAGGACTATGTAGGAAAAAGCAAATGGCTTGTGTTTGTGGGCAGTGTCTTTCAAATGTTGCTTACCGTCCAAACTAGGCTAATATAATCCTTTGAATGTATCCTGTACACCAAGTTTGACAATTATGTCATTCTAGGATGTTTAGTAGTTGCATAACTGGTCATGGGAGCAATATATATACATCATCCCAAAGACAACATTTATAATAATGACATGCTTTTATAGTCCTAATGAAACAGTGGATTAAGCTTAAGAGGCAGCTATGTTTGCAGAACCACTCAACAAGATCCCTGGAGCATCTGTCTGTCTCTAGGACTTCTCATCTAAGTTTACCTTATGAAAAGCACCTCACTAGAATTTGAGAAGGCAGACCTAATGCCAACACCACAATGAACAGCATTGCATCAAGCAGCATAGATATACATTATCAAGTCTCTACTTCCATATCTGGAAGCTTTTTTTGCCAAGCAGCTGCAGGTGTATGTCTGAATATGCAATCATTCAAATATACACACCTTTATTTGTGCATAGCTTCCAAAGAGCACAGGTGTGGGAGACTGAAATATTTCCCATTCAAACACACCTGCATGTTTATGAATGTGCAATCACTTCATGTGTTAAAATATTCTTGGAAGGGCCTCTCACTTGTGCAATATTCTTCAACTCTGAGGCAAGACAGGTTTCTTAGCTAGCATGCTGTCTGTTTACAAAAATCCCTTTAAGGCAAACCAAACTAATGTAGCCTATAATCCAGCTTTCCCTTTACTATAATAGTGGGTTAAAATGAAATAACAAAAGAAACTATGCCTTTGGGTTTAAAATCTCAGTATGAAGGATGTTTGGATAAATCATTTTTGAAAGGAAATTGTTATGTATAAAAAACTGATTTTATATGAATTTGCTCACTGTGTTTGTGTATGAGATGTCAGTTTTCTTTTTGCACTTTCTAAATGAAGGAATTTAAAGTTAAACATTTCTTTGCTTCATAATAGCTGTACAAGAAAGACCAGATTAGAGTTTAAAAATCAGTATCTAATTAAAATCTTTATCCTTTATAGGATAATTAAATTTGCTAGGATACAATATATATTGTTAATCACATGCTATTTTGTCCATATAGAATCTTAGCATCTATTATAGTCATACTTTACTTGAATAGATCATTCATATGATGCTATTGCATGGGAATATGTTCATTTCATTGCTACTAATTTATCAAAAAGTAGCATCCTAAATGTAATAATAAACTTGTACAAAATCAGCATAATGTCAGCAGTGAATTCCTTTTATGATCTAGAGAGTCTTTCGTTGAAATAAAAAAAATTCTCCAGTCAGCTTTCTTCAGCATTAAATTTTTATTCATCAATCCTTTGAAAGACTGTCTCCATTATTACATATATTTTATATTTAGTTGTTTGGACCATCCCAACTGCTCTTCTTTTCTACATGTTTAAATATTTTAATGAGTGGCTTACTTTTTTAAAATCAATTTTGATATATTTAATTGAAAATAGTATAAATATCAGCAATTATTCTAAAATTTACCTTCGCTACGATTGAAAAACCCAACTAATTGAAATGATGCAGTATTACAGCTCCAGACTGAGGTTGTTAGCCACTGATCCACTAACAGCCCTTATACTTTGTTATAAACTCCCTACAGCAAAATATTACCCTTAAGTTGAAATCAGCGGGCAAGGATACAAGTGTTAATATTCCCAAGGAGGGTGGGAGCAGATCAATAACAACATAAGAATAAATTCTGCTGCAATCAGGCTGACACTGTCAGCAAAACTCTAATATTAGCAAACTGCTACTACCATAGCAGAAATTGCAAAGTAGAGGGCAGCAAATCATTTATCTACTCCATTTCTCATATGATTTCAGGCAATCTAGAATCTGTAGATTGACAACACTTTTATATTTTGAGCATTACATTTTCCAGAGAGCTAGTTAGTTTGTTGGTTATAATTAAAATATGCGACTCAAGGAATTTAAAAACCAGTATATTTATTACAGTAAAGCTTTTATAGTTATACTTCATTTCATTAGATGCATAAAGCATTATTCTGAGGGAAGATTGTACAAATATTAGTACCTGGAAGGAATAAGAAATAGTATATCTGAGAAAAATAAAATTCAGGACATGCCAATAATGGTACTTACCTATTAAAAATGACCATTTAAAAAAAAAATTTGGCTGTGACATCAGATATGCTTGCCTAGGTGAATTGATCTACACATACAATTTAAAAACAACTTTTTTGTCCATTATTGTATGATATTATAAGACATTTTCACCTGAACCCAGATAAAAGCATAGCTTACTTTATGTTAGCATATTCAACCACAATTACGGTATATGTAATGCATGAATCTGGATCTGTGGCTCCCCTAGCTTCCACAGGAGACACTTTCCACTGAGCAAAGCAAGGGTTTAGCAGAAGGATGTGAAATAGAGTTAGTTCAGGAATAGTATTACTGCTAGTCTAGCTTCCATGTCACCCTAGTTAAGAGATTACTTGAAATCAAAGAGGAAGTTATGAAAGATTCAGTTGTTCCCTATCTGGGGACAGTGGCACCAGCCCCAGTTGCCCACTTCATTTTATTAAGAGAATAATAAAATTATTTAAAATAAAGTAATGAAAAAAGCCAAAAAGCAGCAAGTAATAAATCTTTACAAAGTTGATTTATGGGATTACTGGCAGGTTAGTCCACTATTAATGCTGAATTAAATTCAGTCTTCCTTGTATGAATATGGCTTTCCTCTCTGTTTATTCCATGGTAACAGAACACAATCCCTTAATTACAGCTGAGCTAAGCATAACTAGTTTCGCTACTCCCTTTCCTAGACTCTTAACATCTATCGTCTGATCTCACTGGATTTCCCCCCCACTGAATTATCAGAGAATTCTGTTTGTGCTGCTGCTGCTTTACAAAGAAAAATGTTCACCTCATTCTGACACTGATATACCTATATATATTAACTGGAATGTCTCTGCAGCAAGAAATTGTTCTGATAAGATCTGATTCTTGGAAGTCTATGAGCTCTCCATTCATGCCTCCTCTTCACCAGGGTACAGAATTGATGTGGTTTTATAAGTGGCAAGTGCCTCTTTTCCCTGCATTACTCTTCATTCTTGCTTAGAAATTTTTGTTTGTAGAAAGTCTGATTTTAAACTTTCTAGAATAGCTATAGATTGCAGTCGTTATCCTTTGGTCTTCAAATTTATGGTGACTTGTAACAAATAAATGCTTTGGTAGTTTTCTGCCTTTCTGGTTCCAGGTAGTCCTCCTTAACAACCATTCACTGAAGTACAGTTTGAAATAACAACTGCCTTTGAAAGAGTGTTTATGACCTTTAAAGCACTTCTGACCATTGCAAAATACTGAATCCCCCTTCCCCTCCCCCAAGTCACATGATCGTGATCTGGGTGTTTGGCAATTTGTTTCCACCTACAACTGGTTGCCAAGTGCCCTGCAATCATGTAAACATCATTTGTAATCTTCTCTGCTGGCTTCCCCAGAAAGTCACTGGGGAAGCTGGCAGGGAAAAATGAAAGCTGCTGTCATTTGCTGAGAGGACTCATATTCATCTCTGGGAGCTGGATGAATGAGCTCCTGTGAAAAGTTTTCAGCTCCATGGAAGCAAATATGCAGCTGAAATCCTTCTCTCTCTATCTCTCCATGCCTATACAGTACCTGCGGAACTGCGAGAAGAAAAAGATTTTTAGCTCTGTAACTGCTTGGATTTTGGCTGCCAAAATCCAAGCAGACATGTGGCTGAAATTCTTCTCTCCCAGAAACTCTGTCCCTGTAGAGCTGCAGGAAGCATCATACTTGCCGAGTTGCAAAGAGCTCTGTGCCTGTGTAACTGCAGGGAAAGAAGGATTTTTAGCTCCATGTCTGCTTGGATTTTGGCTGCTGAAATCCAAACAGGCAAGGGGCTGAAATACTTCTCTCCTACAGCTTTGCAGGCACGAAGCTATAGGGAGCTCAGTGCCTGCAGAGCTGCCAGGAACTCCATTTTTATGGAGCTGCAGGGAGAGAAGGATTTTTAGTTCTGTTTCTGCTTGGATTTTTGCTGCCAGTAAAAATAAGTGGGTTGCTTTGCACATAGTAGTGGGGCAGGGAGCAAGCAGAGCAGACTAAGGCCTCCCAGGTCTGGCAGGGAGTAAGCTGAGGCCTCCTGGGCCTGGTGGAACAGGGAGCAAGCCGAAGCCTCCTGGGCCAGGCAGGGAGCAGGCCAAGATGTCCTGGGCTGTAGCAGCCTTGTATCACACTGCAGCACACCTACAACTTGTGCTCAGTCTGTGCTTGGACTCCCAGAGCCACACACACCACTGAGACACCCCTGTGCTCCATTTAAAAAAATGTACTATTGTTTAATGGCCACAACTGGAAGATCCAGGATTGTAGTCATTGAGTGAAGCAGTTTGCTTCACTCAAACAACTGAGATGCTGTTCCCAATTGTGGTTGTTAAGTGAGGACTACCTGTATGTTTTCTATAATAAAAACATAGATTGTCTCTTTATCTCTGGATATTACTTGGTGCTTTATGCATGTTTTAGGCAGTAGTGAATCAATGAGTAACTTTGTAACTGATGGTAGCTTCTCCTTTTAATATTCAAGAAGATATGAACTATCTGCCAGTTCCCAAGAATAATATGGGCTATCTGCAACACCAACTCTGGATTCTCCTGCTAATCTGGTTCTGTGAATATCTAGTTTTCTACCTAAAGTATTTTTTTATAGCAAGATAATAGGAATGCCACATTAGATAAGCAACTATTTGTTGGCCTCAATTTTCCAACTGTAATAGGAAATAATGCTGCCTTATTTTAAAGGACTGTTGTCACAAATATTACAATGATAATTAACACAAATTTGAGAACTTAAAAAGTGAAGGGTATGTGGTGGTGGTGGTGGTGGAAGAAAGTTCCCAAATATGATATACAAAAGATACCAAAATGGGAACAGCTCCTTAAAATGTTCCTTCCATATGTGAAATAGTTGCAATGGGAAATATTTCATCTCTGTTTTATATATTCAAGAAAAATTATGGGTATGAATGAAAAGATCCCACATCATAATTCAATTCATTCTTGTCAATCTGAAATATCACATAATTTCAAACAGAAGGCAATATCAAATAAAACTATCAGATGGCACATGGATGAGTTAAAGTAATTAAAAATAAAAAGTTTTAAAGATTTCATAAATTGACATATGCATACTTGCTTTGCAAACAGGACCTCCTGTCTACTACAAAATAAATGGAGATATTTAGCAGCAACATATCTTAAATTTAAAGTCCCTGTATTATTTCATATACCATACCATATATCCAATGCTTACCAGGATATCAGTGTTCTCAAAATAATTTCTCCAATATGGCCTGATTTTCCTTTGTCCACCAATATCCCACACATTCAGCTTGAAACCTTGGGCTTGCACACTTTTAATGTTAAAACCCTATAATAAATAAAGTTAAAACAAAAAAAAAAACATGAGTGGATACAGTACTTGGCTATAATTTCATTAGCTCATGTTACTCCCAGCTTATATATCTCAACCCTGGAAAATGTAACAAGATAAAGCCTATATTGCTATTTAGATGAATTGATTGTAGGCAAGGTGAAGGATTTATTTATTTATTTATTTATTTATGAGACTTATATACCGCTTTAAGTGCAAGCACTCTCTAAGCGGTGTACACCAGTAAGCAATGTATATATATATTTACATTGCCCCCAACAATCTGGGTCCTCATTTTACCTACCCCGGAAGGATGGAAGGCTGAGTCAACCTTGAGCCGGTGAGATTTGAACCGCTGACCTGCTGAACACAGTCAGCTAAAGTGGCCTGCAGTACTGCACTCTAACTGCTGCGCCACCTCGGCTCATAATATATAGTAGCCTTGCCTGTGCCGGGATCTATTTATGTCAAAGTTAAAAATATATATGTGCAGCTTATAAGAAGAAAGGAGGGGCACACTGGAAAGTCAAAGAATAAGCAAATAAGGAGAAAACAAAATGCTTCTGTTCTGAAAGGCAAACCCAATGGGCAGGTTAATCAGAAGCAAAACTCTGAATTTGACTTCACAGAAGAAAGATGGAAGCACCAGCTAAATTTCTGAAAGACCCATTTCATCAACTGAAGCTCCAACTGAAAGGGCATGCAGCTAGAAAAATGAGAAGTGGTGCAGACTGGCCACAAGCTGCGGTGCAATACAAGGGATGGGTTCTAAGCTTGGAATCTGAAAGCAGGTTTTGCTTCCAGGCATGGAAGGATTTCATCAATAATTGCTTACAATTTAGAGCCAACATACAAATCTCTAGCACCACCTGCTGGCATTTCTGAGATGCTCATAATTGGATATCAGTTGAGACTTCGCTTGTGCAAAATCAAAACAACACCCCCCACCCCCACCCCAGAGCTACATTACAGGCTACTCTTTTAATGAATATATTACATACAATATATGCACTCTATATATGGTAACAGTAACATATGAATACAGGTAGACCTCAACTTACAACCATTCATTTAGTGACCATTTGAAGTTACCAAAGCACTGAAAAAAATGATTTACAATAGTTTTCCATGCCTGCAACAATCGCATGACCAGAATTTGGACCCTTCGCAACTTCGGACCCTTATGACAGTTGCAATGTCCCGGGGTCATATGATTACTTTTGGCGACCTTCTGACAAAGTCAATGGGGAAGCCAGATTCACTTAATAACATTCTTACTGACTTAACAACTGCAGTAATTCACTTAACAACCGTGTCAAGACAGGTCGTAAAAGGTGGCAAAAGTCACTTAACAACCATCTCACCTTGCAACAGAAGTTTTGGGCTCAATTGTGATTGTAAGTTGAAGAGAACCTGTATATAGCACCAAACAGTGCTTCTAGACCAGGGGTAGGCAACCTTGGCTCTTAGTCTGGGAGTTGAAGTCCACGAGTCATAAAAGAGCCAAGGTGCCTATTCCTGGTCTAGACCAAAGGCTCTTCACACCATTGCTCAAAGGTCATTTTGTAGCCATTCTATTTTTTTCATTATGAATGGACTTTCTGGTGAGAAAAAAAGAGAATCTGCTGCAAAGACACAAGGAGAGTTATAAACAGATGATGTTGTTAAGATCCCCTTAAATTATGTGAATAAGGCAAAATGATTGGATGATAATCTCATAAACCACACAATGGCACCTTTAAGTGGCAGGGATTGTAGAAACATAAAGTTGGAAAGAGCCACTGAAGACTATCCAGCCCAACCCCCTCACTGTTCACTACAGGAATCCCAATTAAAGCATCTCTGTATGAATGAATGTCTAGCTTCTGCTTGATTATATCTAATGAAGGGGAGCCCACCATCTCAATGGTTATGATTCTACTGTCAAACTGGATTTACCAGCTCCTGGGCACATTATACCTTCTGTTTCTGAAAGAGTTTAACAAAATTAAAAAGGAAGCAGGTATTCTTCAAATCAAAGAGCTATCTTAACCTTTATTTCCCATAATGACCCCAAATGCCACATAGCCTTTTTAAACATTGCTAGAAATAAAACTAGTGATTGCCTTTGTAACACCAAACTATTTGTAAATGTGTTTATCTGCCCAGAAATTTTTACAAGAGTAAACTAAGCTGGGCTTTATAATGAGTATCCTAAACGCTTGAGAAGATTGCAGGGAATAACCTCATCAGTCTACTTTCTGAGAAACAGTTGTATGTGGGCATGTGGGCATGCCACTATCGCTATAGTTGTATCTATATCATAATAGATTGCTTTTCTTTCTTAGATCATCTCCCACTGCTGGTTTCATGGCCTACTGACTATTCTGGATTTCAAAATCAAAATTAAAATGTGGGATGCTGCCATAATTTTGAAAAACAAATTGTGCAGCTTGAAAGTGATTCATGACTATTTGTACAACCATACCACTGAAATCTGGAAAGGGAGTTGCACACACATCCAATGTAAATGTATTTTTGGAACTCTGCCAAACATCAAGATGTAGTCTTATATTTAATCACAGAATATTTGCTGTATCAGTAGTATCATCTTTCCTTACCTGGGTTGGAGTGATATGGGTGATATCTTCAGATGCTAGTTGTTTCAAAAGTGTGGTTTTGCCTGCATTATCCAATCCCAGGAGCAGGATCCTAACCTCCTGGTCTGGTGCACTCTTCAATTTACGCAGAATTGATAGCAAGCCCTGTCAGTCAAATAGAGAGGAAACTTGCCATTTTAATTATCCTCTCCAAGACCTATTTTTGGAAAGTACATATGCTATTCCCAATATATACTAAATACTGCACGCTAATAAATTATACTGTTCCCTAGCTACAGATTCATAATATAGAATATATGATACAAAAATCAGGGAGAAACTATCCCCTTAATGGATAAGATTAAAAAGAAGTATTATATTGTTTTAAAATAAAATAATTAAGAACAAACACCAGAAACAAATTTAATATTTAATCTTTTCAAAATAAAGAAGGCCAAAATGGAGATTGTTGTATATAGAAAAACCATATAAATTTTCTTAATAACAATGCCATATATAACAATCAACACAAGAAAATGGAGATTTTGTAAGAACATTAATATTTAACAAAGGGACTAAGGAAGTGAACAAAGAGAAAACAATTAACATTTTGAAAAAGGTAAAGGTATGAAGAAAGAGGCTATAAAAGTCTATTTATATACAGTACCAGAAAACCTGTGACCTGTTAAATCAATCTTTCAGACATATTTCCTTGTCAGATGCCTCAATGCCTTCAACAAGAGAATTTCTAATATACTGCCTTCAATGGAAAAGTTAGAATACAATCAGAGAGGGATCTTGCAAACAGTTCCTGTTGCACTATATAGCAGAGTCAAACATCAGCATGGGAAAAGGTTCATGATATTTTGTATCATGGCATAAGCTGTCTTATGAGCATTTTTATATTATAAAATGTTTTATAAAATTTGACAAATTTCAATTCCACAAGAGTCATGGGTCCTGGTTTTTAGACACATTCTATTAAGTTAGTCCTTCTGAGGTACCTTGGTTCAAAAATTCAAACATTGTTGCCTTAAGATGCACTGTTTCTCCCAGTTAAAGGTTAGGGGAATGAGAATTTTAGAAGTGTGTATATATGTGTGTGTGTACATATACAGACAACAGAGGAAAATGATGAAGAGAAATGTATCATCAATATGTGTAATTTATAAATAATATGACATTGCTAAAGGTTATATTTTTAAGTAGACTAAACATTTTGTTTTTGCTTGCAATCTGATCCTTTAAAATCAACTGATACCAATGGCTAACAATAGAAAAGAACACACATTTTAAACATTATAGAACAACCTTAGACAGTAAAAAATGAAAATAAAGTGTCTGCAAAACCAGGATTCTGGTCTCCCTTGCAGTCAGAATACGAGCAAGCATAGAAGAAAGCCTCTCTACATTCCATGCTCTCAATGAGTAGAAAAACATTCCTAGCATATCAGTCCAAAGCTTGTCATTAATAGAACTGATGTCAGGAACAATAATGGTTTGGGTTGCCTGGTCTCTCAATCAGGGCAGCAATCAATTGGCTTACCTGCCCATTAGAAAAAAAGTCCAGAGAAGTTAGGGTTCCAGTCTACACTGTGTGCATGAAAGCCTAGTTTCAGCATAACATGAAAAAACTGCTTTCACATCAATTGTTGTAGCAGTGGGTTCACAGTGACATAGACATGTTATCAACAAATAGCAAGTACAGCATCTTTGTTCTAGGGCATGGAAGCTGTGTGCATGGTTTTATGTTATTCCCAACTACTGTCTAACAGTCATTATCTCTCTGAAATTTCACTATCTTTCTCACCTCTCCTTTTACCATTTCTCACCTTCCTTCCCTTCTAAGAACTGTGTCTACATATTCTGTACCTTTAAGGGCTCTATTCCAAGCATTTGATGAAGTGAACAGTGAAAGCATATGTAAAAAAACTATTTGTTAAGGTGTCGAGAATTGCTTTGGCTGCAGTCTAGCAAGTTCTCTAAAATACTGTGAAATAGTTATATTAATGGAATTCAAATTAAAGGATATCATTGAAGGCAATCTAATAGCTTTACTAATAGCTACTCTATTTGGAAATAACTATTGTTAAATTTTTATTCAGTTGCATCCAAAATAATTGAAATATTTTTTTCCTAAATACTAACATAATACATAAGAGCACTTTCCATCTCTTTTCGGGATTCTCGGGCTTTTCATTCTTATCCTTGATCTGTTGATTGGTTTCCTAGCTAGCATCAGAGCCAGAACATTAACTGATCCTGCTATTCTTATCCTACGACTGTGACATCATAATGGAAGGAACTATTAGCTACTCTTCTAAGTGGCAAATCTTTTCACTACAATTTCTTAGTGAAACATCTTCCAGACTTTACAAAAGCTGTCTCTTCTGTGTAGAATTGTGTAGAAAACCATTAGCAATAATATGTAGCTGAGCTGAGGGGTGTCTCTGATTCTGGATTAATTTTTATTTCATTCCCTTCCACTATTTTAATTCTGCCACTTGATGTGATCCTAACTTCTTCAATATGGACCCTAGTTCACTTTGGATTATGACTACACTTCACCCTTATTGCTTCCAAATAGCGCTTGGGGGTTTTCCTGATTCCCTCCTCCACGAACCGGCTGAGTCCTTGGTCGCTGCTTGGAATAAGGCGGCATCAGGGGCGTTAAACCGGATCGCGCCTTTGCGACCTCTCCGTGATTGTGGATCCCGGAGGGCACCTTGGTTTACCGAGGAGCTACGGGAGATGAAGCGTCAGAAGAGACGTCTAGAGCGACACTGGAGGGCTAGTAACTCCGAATCTGACCAGACACTTTTAAGAGCCTATATTAGGACTTATTTAGTGGTGATACGAGCGACAAAATATGTTTTTCGCACTTATTGCATCTGCAGAATCTCGCCCCGCCGCCCTGTTTAGAGTGACCCATTCCCTACTTAACGTTCGGGAAGCCGGGGAGCCCTTACAGGGTAGGGCGGAGGAATTTGTGCAGTTCCTATCAGACAAAATCGCTCGGATTCGGACAGACCTAGACTCCGATTGGGCAGGGCCTTCTGAGATGACTGGGGCAGGTCTTAGCCCAGTTTTATGGGATGAATTTGAGTCTGTGACCGCTGAGGATGTTGATAGAGCGGTGGGAGCGATAAGCGCCTCCGCTTGTTTATTGGACCCGTGTCCTTCCTGGTTGGTCTCGGCTGCCAAGGAGGTGACACGAAGCTGGCTCCAGGTGTTGATCAATGCTTCGTTGAGGGAGGGGTCTTTCCCGCAATCCTTGAAGGAAGCGGTTGTGAGGCCCCTTCTCAAGAAGCCTACCCTGGACCCAGCTGACTTAAATAACTTCCGTCCAGTCTCCAATCTCCCCTTTTGGGGGAAGGTTGTAGAGAGAGTGGTGGCGCTCCAGCTCCGACGGTCTCTGGATGAAGCGGATTATCTAGACACTTTTCAATCTGGCTTCAGGCCCAGCTTCAGCACAGAAACTGCTTTGGTCCCGCTGATGGATGATCTCTGGCGGGCCCGAGACAGGGGTTATTCCTCTGTCTTGGTGCTACTTGACCTCTCAGCGGCTTTGGATACCATCGATCATGGTATCCTTTTGCGATGACTTGAAGGGGTGGGAGTGGGAGGCACCGTTTTACGGTGGTTCTCCTCCTACCTCTCTGGCCGGTCGCAATCGGTATTGGTGGGAGGGCAGAGGTCAACCCCGAGGCCCCTTGAATGCGGCGTGCCGCAGGGGTCGGTCCTCTCCCCCCTCCTATTTAACATTTACATGAAGCCGCTGGGTGAGATCATCAGACAGCACGGGGTGAGATTTCATCAGTATGCTGATGATACCCAGCTATATATCTCCTCCCCGAGCTCTCTCAGTGAAGCGGCTGATGTGATGGGCCGTTGTCTTGAAGCCATGAGGGTCTGGATGGGGGTTAACTGACAAGACCGAGTGGCTTTGGATGTTGCCTCCCAAGGATCATGTTGATTGTCCAGTGTTGACTCTAGCGGGGGAAAATATACCCCCTTCGGAGCGGGTTCGCAACTTGGGTGTCCTCCTTGATCCACAGCTAAATTTGGAACATCATTTGACGGCTGTGGCTGGGAGGACCTTTGCACAAGTTCGTCTGTTGCACCAGTTGTGACCCTACCTGGACCGGGAGGCTCTCCTTACAGTCACTCATGCCCTTGTCACCTCACGTCTGGACTACTGCAACGCGCTCTACATGGGGCTACCCTTGAAAAGTATTCGGAGACCGCAGTTGGTCCAGAATGCAGCCGTGCGAGTGATAGTGGGTGCTCCTTGATACACCCACGTTACACCTATACTCCGTGAGCTGCACTGGTTGCCTATTGGTCTCCGGGTCCAATTCAAGGTGTTGGTTATTACCTTTAAAGCCCTATATGGCTCAGGGCCAGGCTATTTGCGAGACCGCCTACTACCTCATAGTTCCCTTCGTCCGGTTAGATCCCACAGGCTGGGCCTCCTTCAGGTCCCGTCGGCCAAGCAGTGCCATTTGGCGGGGCCGCGGAGGAGGGCTTTCTCTGTGATGGCGCCCATGTCTTGGAACCATCCCCCCCCCCGGAGATTAGGACCGCTCCCACCCTGTTGGTTTTCCGTAAGCTGCTTAAGACCTGGCTTTTCCGGCAGGCCTGGGGTTTATAAAATCTGACCCCTGGATGACTGTTATTGTACTGTTTGTTTTGTCATGTTTTATGGTGTTTTTATTGTTAGCCGCCCAGAGTCCTGTGGGAGTGGGGCGGTTTATAAATTTTAAAAATAAATAAATAAATAAATAAATAAAATAAATATGCTTTTCTCCAATGTCATCACTGCTCAAAATTAATTTAGATTTAGCTTTTAATTATGATATCAATTTCACTTACGGTAATTATATTTATTTGATCCCATCAGCATCTCAAAATGGTATACAAGGGAAACTCACTTTATTTTGTTCTCATGAAACAATCCTGATGTAGATTGGACTGAGAAAGAATGACTGCTTAAAGACACTTAGTAAGTTTCCACAATAAGGTTGGATCTGAATTGTAATCTCTCTAACCTATCCCCAAACCTTAGCAAACACACGGTACCTCAAGCGCTATAAGGGACACAGAAAAAAATCCTATATAAATATTCTGATCACAATTTTAACACAAATATAGCAGTAATATAATTTGGTCCCATTTAAGTAAATAGTAACTGAAAATGCTAAAAATGTAAGATCCATAGAAAAAATATAAAAATTGACCTTTATTTAAACCATTTTCAACACCTATTTGAAATAGATTTTGCAGTCCTCCTAAAGAGGAATCTACTTTTTCCATGATAAAGTGGTTTTATTGAATTAGAGCTCAATTTTTACATTTATATAGCACTTCACTGCACATTGTCTTTAAAATTTATTTCATAGCAGTTATTTTACCTTGACTGGATAATTTTTGTTTTTATTTTGTTAAGAACTGATGTGGTGTACTAGTTGCAGATGCTGGATTAAGAATAAAAAAACCCAGATTCTAGACATCCCTTAAGTGTAGAAACCAGTTGTATGATCATGGGTTTGACTTGTTCTCTCAGACCAAATTAGCATCAGGTTCTGTTTGATAAAGTTCCTGCATTGATAGCTGTTGATAAGAACTAGGCAAACAAATGGTACTTTTTAAAAATCTGTTTCACTTTCAGAAGAGAAACATACAAATTAATTTTGAACCTAATTTTGCATAAACTCGATTACCTTATTTTACCCACAATATAAAAGCCACAGGACTATCAAAGGACATTTTTTCTCTGAGACCATTGTACATTTAAATTAATTTAGCAACAGAATAGGGTTCAGTGGAGGCAAACGCTGCTTTTCTGATTCTTTTATGTGGGAATTCAACATTCTCAATAGCATATGATTATATAAAGCTTCTAGTGAACGGGTTATCAACTGTGAAATTTCAGAAAAAGCTAGGAAGATAAATTATTTATACAGATAAGTATCACAGGGATATTTTTGGTAAGTGGGAGATATTTCCTTGGAGATATAAAGGGCACTACTAACAACATTTTGTTAATTTTGAAGATGGTAAAACCAAAAACTACCTAATGGGAAAAATCAGTAGGATTTTTTAATAGCATATTTATGTTTGTAGAATACTTTATAAGAAATATTTATTTTCAAATCATAATCCATGGGAACTAATGCAGAAACAGAATCTGAGAAGAGTGCAACAAAAAAATTTTGAAAATACAGAATGAATTCTTCTAGGTCAAATATAACCTTTCTAGTACAGTGATCTGTTTCCTTTACTTGCCTACTAGAATGCCTATTTGATAGGCCAAAGAAGGAAATGATAGCAACAGTCCTCTCCAGCAGCTTTCCAATAATTAATATTTGGGGGGGATATAGCTTACAAAAAGGATATAGCTGGCATTATTTACAGCCATTAGAAGATTTAACGATCATTAATATAACTAATCTCCTTTTATAGTTGGCAAGCATCTCATCCTGTGATAACTGCATAGTTTAAAATTATGTCCTACGTGAAGAATTGCTTTCTTTTACCTGCTTCAAATTATCAATGAAGTTACTCTTTTCCTGCACTTATTCCAACTGTACTACATCCTCTTATTAAATAATTGTAGCCAGAACTGTACAGAACTCTAAATATGGTCACATCACAGATTTGTCTAAACCAGTGTTTCTCAACCTTGACAATTTTAAGGCATGTGGACTTCAACTCCCAGAATTCCACGGCCAGCATTGCTGGCCGTGGAATCCTGGGAGTTGAAGTCCACATGCCTTAAAATTGTCAAGGTTGAGAAACACTGGACTCTAAACTATATTATTGGTAGTTTAATTTTCATTAATCTCTCGCACTGAATTCAATTTTTGTTATTTGACATATGTTTGTTTAATGGCTTCTCTAAATTGGCAGATAATTTGGTAAAACCACTCAAAATATGTTAAATTTTTCAAAAAAAATCTTTAAATTTTAATTTGAATATTATCACTATTTGTCTTAGATTTTCAGAGCCCTCTTCTGAAAATGGACTTTTTTGAAAAGAAACAAATGATAACTATTCAAGAAGATACAAAGAATACATTCAGCTTATCTGCAAACTTATTCTCTCTTAACATATTTTAAGTGCCTTATTCCTATCCATTTTCCATAAAATAGATTTAGTCTAAGATTCTTTTTCAGTTTTACTTCAGTGTTTCTTTGCTAAATAACTTCAGGCCCTGAGTTTAAGCCTATAAAAAAAGCTTTCTCAGTCTGATGTCCTCCACATTGGAGATCACAAATTGCAAAAATTACAACTAAGTTGGAATTGTTGTTAGAAATATACACTGGGCGACCACTGGGGAAATTATCATTGGGAAACTAGCTCCTGGCACATGATATCCTTTGTAGTGACCTTGTTTCAATTTCAATTGATGATTAATATAAAATAAAAGGGATACTATTTACTTTTTCTTCACACAGATGTTCAACTCAGCTTCATATGTATTTACTTATCTTAACAGTTGGTCACCTCATGCTTGCACAATTTAAATTTTAAAGATCTAAACCAGAATATCTACTTCTAAACACAGATTCTTTTTTAGTATGAAGTGAATACCATGCTGAATAATATGTACAAACAATAAACATTAGAAGCTCATAGACATGCTTTAAATGAAGATGGTCCAAAGTTTAATTCCTTGGCATCTTCAAGTAGAGCTGGAAGACCTTCTGGCTGAAATACTGGAGAAACACAAGGCTTATGCAGGTTGAATCAAGATGGGAGAAGCAAAATGCATGAAGTACTAACCATACCAATTATGCTAAGGGTGAAATGTATAACATCATTAATTTTCACATAGTAGTATAGATGAACAAAGTTAAGAGTGATTGAGACTGCTACAGGTTGTAGGAAAGACTATGAAGTTTTGGGTATTTTCCACCAATATATGCATCTATTCCTTAAAGGAAAATCCAAAAAACTTAAATTGTTCTACAAAAAGCTTTAGATATATCAGTATTTCATCAGAATTCACTGAAAAAAAATAACTTAGTGCAAAAGGAGAAATTTGTATTCTTCAATTATACAAAATATTTGTATTAAGGAGCTATGACTACTGGCCAATCAAGTTGTTCTTGCTCAGCTAGTTCTCCCATTTCATCCCAAGAAAATGTTGTAAAGAGATTTTTTTTCTGTTAAATCGTATCTGATTTTCAGAGATTGCCTGAATAAATCTCTGCAGTTTTCTTGGCAAGGTTTTTCAGAAGTGGTTTGTCGTTGACTTATTCCTAGGGCTGAGAGGCTGGCTTTGTGCCCAAGGCTGGATTAGAATGCACTTTCCTGGTTTCTAATCTGATGCTTTAGATAACTACTATATCAATACTAAATGGAATGTACAGAATATACATGTAAGAATTAAGGAAGCTACTGTTTCAAGTCTTATTATGTCCTATCTTACTGTCCCTGATTACTATAGATGGCAATGGAAGAGAGACAGGAGCTTAATTTTAAAGGGACATTAAAGGACAATTTCTCATTCATCCTAACGTACCAAAAATGGATACTTTGGTTTATGGAATCTAGTTTAATTTTTACCAGATTTCCAAGATCCACAAACTTGTTTGTTTTCTATGGCATAGACTTATGCCCATAGGATTGTTTTTGATACCAAAACTGAATGGAGTTTGGGCTTTCCATTCTAATATTCTCTCCCAAATGTCTCTTCTTTATTTCAGTAGCGTAATCATATTTCAGTCGCCAAATTATTAGTTAATCAAAGGTATACTATTAAATTCCATCCAGAGTTATTGAGAGTCAGGCAGCATATACATTTAATTGCTATTATTAAATATTATTCTAGCTCTCCTCCATACACTAGCAAAAGAACAGCGCAGTTATCCTATAAGTATCACAATCCCAGTTCACATTTGCTCCCTCACTTTCCCCTTTCCCTGCCCCTTAATTCTGTTCAGAATGTGACAGCAGGATTACATAAGGTGTACAATCCCTGTGCCTATCATTGATTTAGCGTGATAAAAGGAAACCTCTTCTGTCAATATCTGATGGGTTTTTAAATACTTATCAAGTTCTGGGTGCAGCCTAGCTGGGCAATTTCAAAATTGGCACATAGGGCATATAATCAAAAGAAAATCTCTGGGTATTAGAATCAGAAAAATATTCCTTTTCTTTCTAATATTAAAACAACCTAGAAAGATGCATTTGAACTCTATTTTTCATGTACTTTTGCATCTTAAGAAAAAAAGACAGGACTCCTCATGAGCCATTTCCACTTCTAAAATGGGTCAGTTCGTCCCCATGAGACTCCAGGTTACAAAAGCTAAGCTTCTCAGTAGTCACATGTCTCTACAAGATTAAGAAACTGTCTTTTGAATGACACGATTTCAATGCCACAGGTAGAAACGATCACCATAAGAAACGGAGCTTCGCATTGACTCACATAAATGAATAGTGAATCTTGATTTCAGACTCTTTTAAAAATTCCTAAGAGGACAGTACAGTAGATAAAACGCATGGGATTTACAAATGCTAAAACGAGCGAAAAGCCCTATTCCTGGAATACTTTTATCTTTCAATCTCAACCTTCTCTTCCTGGTAGTCATTTTGAACAGTTTCTCCAACCAGAAACACAGGGGACCATTCACGTTCGTCCCCCCGCCCCCTTTTATTTCATTCAGGCCCAGTCACCCACTTCCATCGCTTCAGACCGGCCTTCCCTCCGTACCAACCACTCCGTTCCCAAAGAAGGGCTCTCTTCAACAATCATCAGCGCCAGGATTTGGAGGGGGGGGCACCATAATTCACCCTCCCCAACCTCCTCCGTCCCCGGCTCTCTCCCCTTCAATCTCACACTCACCATCCTCTACGCGGCCCTCGGTTACCATGGGCAACTGCGGCATGCGCGTGCGCACTGCATCCCTCTTACGTAGAACGTTCGTCCCGGGTGCTCTCTGGGCGGTCGAAAGCGAAGGAGGGGCTTGATTCAAGAAACACCGCCCACTGGCTTCTTCTGTTTTTTTTAAAGCACGTTCTGTTCACAGCGCATGCGGTTTAAACCAAGGAGGGATCAGCACATTCTTTCTTAGGTTAAGAGTCTTTGGATTGGTTGCGAAGGGCCACGCGTCCCAACTATTAGGGGGCGGAGAGATTAAGAAAAAAAAATTAGTGAACACCCATGTGCTTTCAAAGGAAAGGTGTGTGTCTTGCCGAGTGGTGCTTGGCGAGTTACAGGTAGGCGTTGCGCTAGAAAGACCCTGCGAAATAAGTGCTGTCTTTCAACCTGACAAGGGAAGAGGGAATGCAGGGGATGAGAAGCGACACAATAGGCTCACTTCTGGCATTAGTGGAAAAGGGGCTTCAGGGTTTTCTGATAGTTTAGGAGTGAAAGAATGGCCCGAGGCACGGGTGGAAATATCAAGAGGGAATCCAGGGTCCTTCTCAGCAGAAAAATATGATGGTCACCCAAACTCCAGGTTGACTTCATATTTCTGCTTTAAGTAAATTCATTGGTATCTACAGATACCAAAGCGATTAACACCCATTTCTGGTAACTCGGTGTTGGGTGGGACTGCAGCAACCCAGATTCCCAGAACTCGAGGACATAAACTTAGGAAATTGCTTCCAGTCACTTAGGTTCAGCTATTATAAAAGCTGGAGGGGGGAATGAAATATTGCTGATTTACGGCTCTAAAGGTAAATTGCTAAACAAGAAACCATTTCAAATGGGAAAGATGTAAAATCAAGCCAGACCTTGAGTGGTAAATGATTCATGCTGGTATTGCTTTGAAGATAAATCTCAAAGTGATGTGAAGGTTTTGAACACAAGCAATGGCCTGCCTACTATATATTTCAGCAGATCAAGCTATCCTGTTTTTTTGCCTTCATAATTACATTCATTCTCTGAATACAGCAGGTTTATACAGCTGTGATAGTTAATAAGTATGTATATTAATGCTAAAAAAACCACAGCTTTACTTATAGCCTGCATTTGTTCCACAAAGATAGCATACATCAGGTCCCCAAATCCTTTTTCATCTAAAGGAGAATGTTTGTAGCTCAAGGTTGAAATGATAGGTCCTTGGTGCTCTCCAAACTTGGTTGTTTTCTTGAAGAGGTTTCTGCTAGCACTGATGATGTTACCTAGTTTGGGTAATGAAATCTGCAAGAAAACAACCAAGCTCAGAAAGTACCAAGGATCCCTTTTTCATCTGGATATTTACCAGACTTCTTTAAACTTCAGCAAATTACTGTATTATATGTTCTCACATCGTGCATGAATTATGAATGTTAACTTGTGTAGAACAAAGTAGTGAATTGACTTCTTTCTCATCTACTAAAATTTCATTTCAATGAAATATCCTCCTCATGTATTGTAACTGGGGTAATGGAGACTGATCAAACTGTCACAGAATGTCTGATCTTTCAAGAAATTAAATATTTTGCAGCTCAGCAACAAGAAAAATAAAAAAAGTTGTCTGATTGGCTAAAGATGTATAATTTTTTCCAGGAGAAATATTAGAAAATTGAAACAAACCTGAAAAAGAAAAGAATAAGGCAACATAGATTTTTTTAAAATGGGGTCATAAAAAAAGAGTAGATGCAGTAATTTAACATCCCTCATTCTGTATCATTTATTAATTTAAATTGTTTCAATAATCTTACATGTGCATACGTTTTAAAAAAGTACTCAAAATTGTGAATGAGTGTGTAAAATACCACTAGTCCAATGCAGATTGTTTCAAAACATCAATCTTATTTTTTCCACTGTGAAAATGGATTATTCTGTGTGCATTTTTTAAAATCCATTTACCAATCTTTAGAAAGATCTCTCATTCTAGGGTTACTGAGTTTACCATTAGGTGTCAGTATATCAAGTTTTGAGATCAGCTTTGCTCTATATTTTTGTTGACTTTCTCAGTTTTAGTTTAAGGATGGTGACACAAAATATTCTTTTGCAAGGATGAAGCTGATTGTTTTTTGCAATGTACAAGGCTAGCTGTTTGCAGTTAGTCAGGCAGAGCCAACTCAAAACTTGGCAGGGGAGGGGACTGCAGGAGAATCTGTTACTTGACTGAATCCTGGTCTTTGCTTTGGACAAGGTGGGGACCAAAGTTGTTTCTCCATTTTTTTTTTCACTTTTCTCCCCCTCTCATTAAAAGCAATGAGATTATGAGAGAAACTTGCTGCTGCCGTCAGTTGGGAGCATGTTCTGTTGGGAGTTTAAATAGTTGGGATTTTGGATCAATTTAAGACCACCCCTGAACATTGGGCAAAGAATTGAAGATTTCTCAGCAGCATTAGAATATTACCCAAGAAAACAGTCTTAAGTGAACATGTCAAATATACCAGGAAAAATCAAATCAATGATCCTTTTAGTACAGCTAATCTCATCTGATTTCAATATCATTATGAAAAATAGTGTAGAAGTTGTAGAATAATTATGCTGTCAGGGAAAAAAAACAGAATATGCATAACTTCATATGTGGCCAGATACAAACTGGATACACCTATTGAGCTGTGGTTTGAGTTATTACACTTTGTTGTTAGTTGGATACATACAAGATATAAAGCCATAAATCATGGTTTATAAACCAGAATTGTTGAGCTTTCACAAAATAGTAAGCCAAAATTATACAAACTTCACAATGGCTTAGAGGAGTGTGTGAATCAAAACAAAGAAACCTAAATAGAAAAGATTGCAGACAGTTTTTAGAATGTATATATTTAAATATCTTAAATATAATAAGTCATTCTTTATCCATCTCCATTCTGGCAGCCTGTTTAGGATCAGTTGGACGGGACTACAAGTATTAGAAGCCAAATATTTTTAAAAATGGCCAAACAAGAGTAGGATGATATGTGGGATTATTCAGTGCTCCAGGTTTGATTCAGAAGAAATATTCAAGAATGTGTGAGAGATCCTGCTTGTGACTCATTAAAGCAGGTGGATCTTTTTTGTATCATTGTGCATTGTTGCCAAGGGTTTATGTTTATATTTCCTTCCATCTGCAATACCTCTTCCTAATCAGATCCAAAACATCATATTTCCAGTGCATAATATTTAAATGAGACTGAAGTATGGTATATAGTATGTTACATCTGGGGAGTAAATACTGTATATTCCCACTCAGTGCACCCAGTTGTACAGTAATGTTGACTGTGGCTTTTCTGTTGCAGAATGAAACCTGTTTCCTTTGACTTTTGCTTGAGGTGACTTAGCAATAGATTCAATGACATATATAAGTCCAGGCAAACCTTTCAGGAAAATTGCCTATTTGTTTATGCTACTAAATGTGTGTTTTATTTCTTAAATAAATATGAGAACTATTTCTCTCTGAGATATTGTTCCTGGCATGAAAAGGAAGAATGATTTTAAGATTGTCAGAAACTCTTGGTATTTTACATGCTGACATCCACAAATAGAAGGACTTAGTTGTTCTAGAGTTCAAACCTGTGTGAAAAGCCAAACGGGGTAAAATTTTACATTTTGTCAGGGCAGATTCATTGATCAAATTCCAAGAAGGAATTGAGGTTTATAAGCAGATTTTGTATGTATTTTCAGATCCCTCAAAATATCTTGATCCTTGTCATAAATTAACCACCATTGCTGACAATCTACCTTTGACTAACTAGAATTTCTCTTTGGCACTTCACCAGGTTCTGTTCATATTCTCAAGCACCATCCTTAGTTTGTCGTCTGGATTCAAAATAATATACAGGCTATAAAAACATAGTTGTTGTGTTCTTATAACATATTGCGCCTAAACCAAATTATGGTTTAAAATCATGTTAGGGTCCACACAACACTGAGCCATAAACTATCTAATTGCCATTTAGCTTTACGTAATATATTGAGAAAACCTAGTCAATGTATGGTAAGTTCACATTTGTGGGAATTATTGAATCTGGAGAAAGATTTGCTCAGCCTTATAGACAGGAGATCTGCTGCAGTTGGTGATGCAAACTGTATAGATTTTAATATTTTAGTTCTCAGTTCCATATACAAATTGGTTACCAATCTATGTATAGTATCCAAATATAAGCTTGCAGTGAGGAGATCCTTTCTGTTTTGTGATATTCCAACTTATTTTACATATTTAAATATGATATAATTAAATAATTATGTCTGTCATTGTTTTAATTTCTTGTCTCTAAAAATAATCATTGCTTGTTTCCTTTCTGCTCTCAGTGTCTAGCCCCTCTTTCTGTCAGTTTTCAGTCTTGTGGTCAAAGTCCTTTATATTTAGGTTGATTTTTGGAGCTCTGTGCTGGTAGTTTTAGTTATCTACTTAAGAGAGCATGCTGTCCATTAACAAAAGGAGTTGAATATTTACTTAATAGTCAAGGGCATTTAGTTCTGTTTTGCCCCAGTCTTTTGAGATCTAATTATTTTGTAACAAAAAACTAACTTGTACGCTTGCTGAGTAAGATAACTTAAAGTGCCTGTAAAAAGTTTTGCACATTTTTACTATGATTAAAAATCTTATTAAAAATTATATTCTGGTTGAAGAAGGGGTTTTTTTTCATTTTCTGTTGTCCTGATTCTCAACACAATGACACACTAAAGAACTCAGAACTTTCACACAAATATAGTATAGACCAGTGGTTCTTAACCTTTTTGAATGAATCGCCCCCTTGAGCCAATGAGGAAGTTGACATCGCCCCCCTCCCCTAACATAACCTCTCAATCACAACGTAGGAAATAATTCTTCAATTTATGCAAACACTTGTTTTATTTTCTTTAAAATTGTCTTCAGGACATATTGATGCAAATAATTTATTTCCAATCTTTTTCCCATATGTCAACTGTGTGAAAAATTTTGGTGCCACCCGTCACTTTATTCCCAAACTTCGTGATACATATATTTCATTATTATCTTATTTATTCAAGACACTTAAATGTAATGACCACTTTGAAAACAAAATTCAATTGCAAGAAAGTGAAATGCCCGAAAAGAAAAACAGTAATATTTAATGATTAAATTACAAGTAAAATTTAAGATGCAAAAAGAAATATAAAAAGGGTAGAGATTGCTCTGCAACGCGCATGAAGATAAGCAATGTGTATTCATATATGTACGGCGTTCTGTATTGAAGCTAGCTGGAGGAACATTTGAAAACACAATTCAATCCACTAATAGCGAGCAATCTGATGTTTTTGTATGACAGATATACAGCGATTCACTGTATGAAAAAGTCTCAAAAGTGTCCCCAAAACTTCTCGCTCCCAT